AATCTCCCCAAAACCCCAAAACCCCAAAACCCCAAAACCCCAACATTTATAGCAAAAATAGAAATAAAATACAATATGAAGTCTCTAGGAGATAACAATCTAGAAAAAGTAGTTCCAATGAATGTGGTTGTGTAAGTTTGCTTTCAAGGATCTTCTCACATAACTTTTCTATCACTGGGTTCCTCATTTTTGAGTTTTATCTCAATATCTGAAGGAATCAGAGAAGTGTTTGTAAACAACTGATTTATCTTATTCTTGTACTAAGTTCTTATCAATGATTCATTGAAAATATAGAGATAAGAAGATACAAAGAGTGCAGAAAATGATGGCTAAACACTCCCTCAGTATTGAACCATCAGACCAGAGATCTCTATTTGAAATAAATTATCAGGTACTGGTCAAATTTCCTAGTATTTTAAGTCATATTTCCCTGGTGATGCACATCATTCTTTACTCTATGTAGAAAGAAGATGATTTTGAAAATGATTATGAAACCAACATGATCAATTCAAGGTATATGGACAACCAGAAGGAGAAGAGAATCAAGGCATTAAAGTTCTTTGACCAAGCAGGCAGAATGAAATAACAGTTAGCACTTGAGATAAAATGTCATAGCCAATCACAGTTATCACGAGAATGACTTTCTCAACTTCAAGTCCTCAAGGAAGATCGATGTTCATAAATCACAGATATTGAAGAGAAGAAATATGAGATATAATCTTGAGCCTGGCTATGCCCTGGCTAAGTCTAAGGATTTTGCGAGATATACTAAACCTAATGAAGGTATGGAGTAAGGATAAACTTTTAGATTTACAAAGTATCTCCAGTTCAAAAGTTCAGAAAAGCCTTTATGCTCATAAGAAGTATATATCACATGCAAAAACCGTTGATAGAGCGTAAAGTTTGATGTAGTAAGAGTTTAGGCTTGCCAATAAGAAGTTGAAGGAAAGCTATTCTGATTCTGGACCAAAACTACAACACAGTAAATTACTCTACAGATTTATTCTTAATTCCTTCTTCCAGTAGTTTATCTCTTTTAGGTAATAGTAAAATCGATTCGCTAGAGAACATTCCTCAAAAAGAGTATCTCAAGCAGGTAGATTTGGTACTAGATGAGCTGGAAATAAGTGGAATGAATACTAAAAGCCATAAAGCTGCCAAAAATGTACAAAACGTGCAATCTGACAGCTGAGCCTATTCCTCCATATTCTCCAAAATTCATAAGAAATTGGTTGATGACCCTTCATTGGACAACAAAACGACTTCCCACTGAATGGATATTCTCAAGAGAATTAATGAAGGATATTTCAGTACAATCCAAAGTCTGAGTAAACATCATGTTTACAAGAAACTTGAGCTTGAAGATAGGATTAAGCACTTGGAAAATAAATTTCTTGAACAAGCTGAACACAACGAGAGGGAAATAATGACCCTCAAATAAGGAAATTGACACCAAGAATAGAGAGGTAGAGGAGCATCGACTCAGAAGCAAACTTACTAAGCAACAAAAGGAAGCTCTCAAATTCTTCCAAGACCAATTCCTTGGTAAGAAGACTGATCATTTCTAGAAAGCAAAACATTAAAGAAAGTTATGGAGGAAGACCATGAGAATATCATGAATGGGAAATAATGAACTGGCTAAATTATTGGCAACCACTCCTGAGAAAGTCACTGAATCAGGAGTCACAGATGTAACTTGACATCACTAATTCATAGATTTTGAATAACTTCAACAGCACTTTAGAGAATCAACTGGGAGCAGAATCATACACTGAACAGATAAGGTTCTCTAAGCTTGATGCTGAAAAGGATAAGCCTTATAAGAGTATCGAGTCAGAAATGAGCTTTAAGCTCAAGTAGTCTTTATCAATGATTTCTAGGAATATCCAAATGAGCACTGCAAAGAAGATAGTTGACAGACTCGTAACCAAATCAACCAGTTGTGATGTTGAAGTCCAGACATTGACAATTGAAGAGCTTATGAAAGAATACTATCAGCGTCAACTTGTAAGTTTCCTTCTCACTGATCTATAGCATATGGACAAAATGGTTGATAAAGTCAAACAGAAGTTAAAGTATGAAGAATCTCTTCACATGATGACAAAGGAAAAACTTATCTGGTCTGAAAAGGATAAAATTAAACTCCAGAGACAAGTTGATAACCTTGAAAAAGTCTTAAGAAGCTTAGAGGAAAAGCACAGAACTTTGACTAAGAAATATATGGACTTTGCTCGAGAATACAAGGACGTTGAATACCAGATAAAGTCATTAGAAAAGGTATGAATTTTGCTTAAACGTTAATAGAACCTCGATAAGAGTAAAACATTGAGAGCCCACTTAGAAAATCAAGTGAAAGTACTAAAAATCGAGATTTCTCAATTAAAAAGTGAGCCAGCTCCAACAAAATCAATGAAGCACAAGGATAAAAAGTTAGAATCCCTTCAGAAGAAATATGACAAACAAAAAGAAGTATTCAAGTAATGCTAACTGTCTAGTTTATTGGAGAACTCCAAGCCAAAAATGAAGCTTATTATGACAAAATAGTATATATGGAAAGTATCATTAAAAACAACACGTGAGCTCCTAATTTGACCTCTTTAGAGAGCTATTTGATGAATATAAGAAGCAAAAGGAACAAGATAAGCTCGAGAGAGAAAGCAGAGCCAGTAGATGGTCAAGGAGAAGCAATAAGAATTTCAGTCGAATCAATAGCACTTTGAGTCATGATCCAACCAAAAACAAGGAAAGGAAGGCAACCAATGAGTCTAATCAAAGTTTTCTGAACCCAAATGGCTCTGATAGAGTTACTCGTAAAGGAACTCAGAAAAATAACAAACTTGATTTTTATTCCAATGAAAACGGGCTTGGCAGTGATACATTGGAAGATGATGAAGGCAAGTTTAATTTTGAATCTGATGAAGAAGAGAAAGATCAAAATAATAGAAGGAAAGGTCCTCCTATTGTAATTAGGGGACCAAGTCCTGATGGAAAGAAAAATAATAGAGAACAAAGCAAAAATAAGATTATGCAGGGCAATCTAAGTCTTGAGCGCGAGTTGAAGATCAGCATGAGTCCAAATAAAGTTGAAAGTTCTGACTTCACTATCAATACAAACAAGCTTAAAACTTCTCAAATGAAAACTCTAGAAATGAAAAAGCAAAATAGGAGGCCAATGTCCTCTCATTCCTCTTCACAAAGTGAGGAATTTCAGATGATAGCGAAAAATAATAATGCTGATTATGAACATGAAAGAGGAGTCAAACACAATCATAAGTTCAGATCCCAAGTAGTAATCAAAAGAGGACAAAGAGCAAGGTTTAGAGAATCAGGTCATGAAGTTAACGGTAAAACTGGAACCCAGAATATAAGATCAAAATATGACTCAAAATCTAACATTTCTAAGCCTTTCCAAATCAAATCGACCGTTTATACAGGTATTTCTGGTAAGGTAAATTTCATAGGTAAAGAGAAGGATTCAATAAGCTCAGGAAGAATTGTAAACTACACTGAGCCACCTAGCAGAGTGACTCAAAATGTTGGGACTCAGTTCCATCGAGAGTTCCTCCCAAAGGAGGTAATCTTAACAGAAGAGAGACTAAACGAAATCAAGGAAGATATAACAACAAGTCTAATTCTTGAACTTGAAATCAGCAGAAAGCATGTAAACATGCTTACTGAAGATCAAGAGAAGATTCTTTACAAAATGGGAAGACTTCTCGGGGAGTATTACATCAAAGACAAGAGTAGAGCTGCTAGAAATCTCAACAATAATGCTAGTTTCTCTCCTACTATCAAGCGATCTAAAAGGCACAAAAAGTCTCACCAGAAAATGAAGACCTTAATCCAGCTATCTAACGGTGGTGGGAACATGAACCAGAAATAATTCCTCCTGCACTTTCCAAAAATTCCAATCCGGTTAAAACTAAGTCGTTTCCAAAATTTATTAAAATTTTCAATTTTGTGCTTAAACTCTGGGGTTTTGGGGTTTTGGGGTTTTGGGGTTTTGGGG